CTTCTGTGCACTTCCCACTTCCTGCGTGTATCCCGCCATGTGCATCACGTATTGCCTGTCTCCCTCTGTGAAGCAGGCTCTGTCAGGGCAGGAAACTGCCATGTCCACCACGTGTCTCCAGCACCCGAGCCTGTGGGTCAGCCCTCCATCAACACACTGAACCAACAGAAGCTGTTACAGAGTTCTGGGGAATGACAGGATCACAATGTGGCCGGGAGCAAACCTGGGGGCAGGGGTGCCAGGAGGGGGGGCTCTCGCCCAGGTGCAATGAGTTGACTTGGGAGTCAGGCAGAGGGAGGGGAGACATTAAGGAGAGATGGGTGCACCCCAATTTTGCTTGAGCCTCAGTTCTCTATCTGTGCTGTCTACAAACTCAATCTGCCAGCTACATACTTAGCCAATGAGTGTCTTGATGCAGATCGAGAGAATGGGACAAACGGAAGTAGGCCAGAAGGGATGGACTTTGATGCCTTCGTTCTCCCTATGAGGAAACTGAGCCTCGGGGAGACCAGAGAGGCCCCTCAGAGCCTCCTGGTTTCTAAATGGAAGCAGCCAAGACCGGCATCTGCTCTGACTTATTCCAACTTCTGGGCTCTTTCCACAGGCCCACTGGCTGTGCTGCAAAATGGTCCCGGGGAAAAAAAAACGTATGAGCTTTAGCATCGCAAGGACTTTGAAGCTGCTAATTGTCTTAAAAATAACTTGCTATGATATTACAAGTTTAAGTTTGGCTGCTTGCACCATTTTAATTGTCTTTGGGGCTGTGCTGAGAAGTCCCGGGAGAGTTACATCAGATGTTTGCTTGGGCCTTTCTGTCAATGGCTTTGAACTTGGCACCCGGGGTTGTTAATTTAAGGTGGATCCTCCACTTGCCTTCATGTACCACCCCCCAAACACACAAACACACACACACACACACACACACACACACACACATACACACATCTACCCAGTGTCAACTTTGTGGTAAGACTTAAAAATAGGATTATGTCCAATAATCCTGTTGCAATAGGAAAAATGCAAAATGACCCGAGTCGCATGCGTAGACCAGACAGACTGAATAAAGGTCAAGAAAACCACTTCTCTTGCACTAAGGTAGACTCATGGCATCCCACACCACGAATGGAAACCACCCAGGCAAGAACACCTCACTAGCAAGTGTGACAAATGCTGAGGGCACTGCTCCTCTACCCGCGTCTCCTCCCTCCACCGTATGATGCACAGAACCCAGGAGCGTTTCATTAATTCATGTAAGTAGGTTGCTCGTTCCTAATGAGCTCATCCCAGGAAGGTGGTTAAGCACTTCGCTCTCCCAGTGAGAAGATGTGTGATCCCGACACCCACAGTGAGAAAAGCCGGGGGGGGGGAGAGGGGGGAGTTCACGTGGGGCTGACAGCCCGGGGGGGCTGAGAAATGCAGCGAAGAGCAGTGCTTCAGTTGGCAACTCCTTTCCTTTCTACCGAAGTCTGATCTTGACCCACACCCCTGAGGTGGAGCGCGACAGACCCGGGGCACGTCTGTGGAGACCTGGGGCTCAGCCTCTCCCTCGCACGCATCTCTCTTCCCACGCTGCGCCCCATCCCTGCTGGCCTTTGTGGGTTTTTTCTTGTTTAGATATATTTTTATTGATTTCATAAAATGGAAGGAAGAAGGAGGGAGGAGAGATAGAACCATCGATGATGAGAGAGAAGCATCAATCAGCTGCCTCCTGCACAGTCCCTAATGGGGATCGAGCTCGCAACCTGAACACATGCCATGAGAATCAAACCGGTGACCTCCTGGTGCATGGTGCAACGCTCAACCACTGAGCCACTCTGCTGAAGCTGTTGTTTTTTAAAAGCTCTCTCATAATTTGAGAGTGTAAGGGAGAGAGCTGTTAGAGGTTGTGTGTCCCCCTAAAATTCAAAAGTTGAAAACCTTATCGCCAGTCCCTCAAAATGTGATTGTTTGGAAATAGGGTTGTGGCAAGTGAACCTCATTAAGATGCCATCATACCACTAATCCACAATGGCTGCACCTTTACAGAGAGGGAGTCTGGACAAACACAGGGAGAGGGCAAGGGGACAGCCCCAAACCAAGAGCTCCCTGGTCAAAATCAGGGCTTCTACTCCATGTTCACGATGAGGTTGGCACTCCGCAGCCCCCAGCTTTCCATGGCAGCAGTCGCCCATAGTCACCCAAGGTATGCAAATAAATGGAAAAGCCCAGAAGTCATCAATCCATAGGTTTTAGGGTGCACGCCATTCCGTGTAGCATGAGGGAACCCCACACTGCTCTGCTCGTCTGGCCTGTGCCCAGTGTCTCCCACGGTCAGAGCTCCATCTCCCAGCGGCCACCAGGGTGACCAGACCACCTGCCACAGTATTACAAAGCTGGAGTTCAGGTCGCCCTGATTTCACACAGTGAGGCTGCGGTCACGTCACGTTTACCTCGGTATATCATTTTAATTGTCCCGTTTTACTATTAATTGTTAGTGCCCTTCTCTTGCTGAGCCTAATTCACACATTAAACTTTATCATAGGAATGTATGTATGGGGGAAATGGTAATACATAGAGGGGCTGGGGGGTCTTGGGATGTATCCCCCATGGAGAAGGGAGGTTGTTGTATGTTGGAATTAGGGAATCATTCAGCGGGAAGACTCTTCAGCTCTCGAGACACCCATTTATTGCATGTAGTAACTATTTATTGTATTGACATATTTACAAAATACTACAAAATGAGATAGCACTCTAACCCACCGTTACACAAGGCCGCATACAGGCAAGACAAAGTACGTGGAAAACACCGACTTCTGTCTTTGGCATTAGAAATCTACACAGACCCGTGGCACTGAACAAATACGTGTCCATATGGAGGTCTCCCGGAGACAAAGATGCCTGGGTGACAACATGAAAAAGGGCTCCGGCCGCCTCTGCGAGGAACCTCCCCCAGATCCATGAAATGCAACAGGAAGACCACCGCCCCTGGTGAGGAAGGCCGTCGAGTGGCTGAAATAACAACACAGGAAACACGCCCGCTCCTACCCCCGCCAGGGAGCATGTCAGCGTGCGTGATGCTGCTGCTTCCGTGGTCACAGCAACAGGTGATACCTTCTCTGACTCACAGCTGCAGGGAAGATGGGGACACACCGTGAGGGTACAACTCTACTGCACAGACATCTCATAAAATTCGTTTCCATGATCCCTGACACATACACACACATGAGCACTAACACACACACACACACACACACACACAACTTTAACTGGTTTTTGCAAATAGTAATTTCTCTAAAAACACAATCACAGTTTACATAATTCTGAGGTAAAGGTCCGGACTTTATCCTATCTGAGAAGGCCTAGCCCCGGGGATCGCTACAGGGGAAGGCAGTCACTGAACATTAGGTTCTGGAACTCAGGAGGGGTGGGGGGCAAGCAGGTGGCACCTCCCTCACGTCAGACATGACCCACAACCTCCAACTGAGCTCGTCCAGCCTGGCTCCTTAAGCTAAGACAGTGGTCAGCAAACTCATTAGTCCACAGAGCCAAATATCAACCGTACAACGATTGAAATTTCTTTGGAGAGCCAACTTTTTTAAACTTAAACTTCTTCTAACGCCACTTCTTCAAAATAGACTCGCCCAGGCCATGGTATTTTGTGGAAGAGCCACACTCAAGGGGCCAAAGAGCCGCCTGTGGCTCGCGAGCCGCAATTTGCCGACCACGGAGCTAATGCATCTCAGGTTGGGTTTGTTTCAAACCCAGCACGCTCCCTGGTCTCGCGTGGACGTCCCTTTGTGCTGCAGAGAGACCAGTCCATCGGGAGAGGGTTGTTAGTGTCTTCAGCGGGTGTCCTGGCCGGGCCTCTGTGCATCGCAGAGGGAATGTGTCCCATAAAAGCGAAGGTTTGGTCAAATCAATCCGCTGCAGAAACTACTCTTCCCACTGGGTCACACCCCCCAGAAAGGGGCTGCTGATGGGGGTGGGGACCCTCGGTGAGAAGCTGGGGGCCATGCTGAGGAAGCCTGGAAATGCCTAGTGACCCTCCGGTCCCAGAAATGCAGGCAGGACCCCGCTGTGCTTTCCTTCCAAAACCCTACACAGCCTGGTTTGTGCTTGTGCTGCTGTCAATGCTCCAGGGAAGGAGGAAAATTGGCGACTCAGTCCTACCTAGGTTTGTTGTTTTTTGTTGTTTTTTTGGGGGGGGAGGGGAGGAGGAAGAGGAGGCCCGTGTTATAGTTGTTGTTCCTGTCAAATGACTTGATAGCCCTTAATCTGCTTCTGTAAACAATACGTCCTCACTCAGGTCCCTTGCAACCGCCTGTCCCCTACCAGCCGAGGTGGCTTTACCAAGCGAGAGACCACATCTCCACAACAATCCTAGGAGGTCACTGGGGCGGAGGGTCTCACAGGGAGATGCTTGCTTTTATGTGCTTTCTTTCTCTGTATACAGTGACTCACCACTGTGACCAGAGAAACAGAGGAGGAGCTGAATAAGAGTGCTCGCCCCAAGCCTCCTGCGAGGCCCTTTAAGACGAGGACTCATACTGGACCCTCCATCAGCTGACGAGGAGTCATACTGGACCCTCCATCAGCTGCTCAGCAGCGGAGCTCTCCTGGGTTCTGTGCTGGGAAGGACAACATGGAACTTTGGACCATGAAAGATTCTGGCGAATGGCACGTGTGAAGAAACCAGCGGGAAGCATTTTCTGATGGCGGCATCATGGGGTCGGACTGGATGAAGGAAGTAGAAAGATGAACCATGTGTTTGCCGGGCTCTTTGGGGGAGAAAAGCAAGCTCGGGCTTTGCCCTAGCCCCCGGCGATGACCCACTGGTCACTGTCCTTTGCCCAGCTGTCCGTCAGCACCGGCCTTTTCAGATCCCAGGATTAAGACTCAGGAGGGAGGGCATGAAATAGCTGGAGATGCAGCTTTTCAAACACATCGGTTCACTCTCAGTGCTGTGAAGGCTTCATCTGTCCTGTCTCGAAGTGTCCAGCCTGACCTCGCTGGACTGGCACCTACTCATCCATCTCCACATACGTGGACGGGAACCAGCCGACCTACAGGAAAGAAGCAACCACTGAGCCACGTGACTTCATGTCTGCCGCTTGAGAGGTCCATCCAGCATGTGGGTTCCCCAACACCCCATTGAGCTGGAGTGACAGGCCCAGTGCAGGTGAGTAAGACTGGAGTATGGGCTCCTGGAGCGGGACAGCGTTCCCATTGGCTAGCACACATATGAATATGCAAATGAAGGGTGGCTCTAGTATGGAATGATTCCTCTTTCTGTCACAGAATCAGCGGGGTAAGAAGACAGAGGTCCTAGGTCCCTTTCCTCCCAACTGAGATTAGCAGCCCAGAGAGACAGGTCTGTCTGCACATCAGGTTTCTGCTCCGAGGCCAAGGGACTAATGCTGAAATGCTCCTCAACCCTCTTCCCAATGAGAAGCCACACCCTTGTGCAGGTGACCTTGGCTTATGCCCCCACTACATTCCCTAGATGCATGCTCCTTGCGGGAACTACTGTGGGTAAGGAACACCAGCAGGGCCTGGAGCCAGAGTCTGGGGAGGTGAGGGCTGCCAGTTGGAGCGCTGCTTCCCAGCAGCTCGAGGGGGGCCTACAGCATCCATGACCTTCGTTCACGGACAGAGCACATGAGTGGGCGAGCTCACCTTGCCGTTGGCTTCTCCTCGCCACCAGCCATTGCCGCTCATCTTGGTGTAGATCTTCACCACGTCCCCCTTCAGCAGGGACAGCTCGCGCATGTCTCTCGCACAGAAGTCGTAGCGGGCCACGGCGATGCCCAGCACCTTGGGGCTCAGCACTGCGGAGACAGGATGGGGAGCCGCTGACGTGCGGTGCAAGGACCCCAGGGGCCAAGCGAGGGAGCATCGGTGATGCTGTCACATGCAGAGGTGTGACTTCAGATGGACTAGCGACAATGGCAGGCAGCCTGGGGGCGAGCAGCAGGATGGCTTTCGGGGCAATCGGGGGTCAAGGTCACATCCTAACGTCTAAAGGCCACGGTTCTGTTCTCACATTCTTCAAAATGACAAAACAGAGACTCGTTTTTGATGTTTTTTTGTGTGTTTTGTTTTTTTTTAAGGTTCCTATCTAAGGAGAAAGTACTAGCACACACTTCCTACGGATGCCACATACTCTGCTTCTAACTAGAACCCGCAGGCAGAAAGCTTTCCATTTTAGCTGGAACCTTTTAGGACTAAGACTCAAAACCACCAGTTTGTTTTTGCTCAGAAATTCTTCAGTTCATCGCTTCCAGTTAAATGGCACTTCCTCCCCCAGCCAGCCTCTTTGTTGTAATTGCTAGACTATTTGGGGCTAAACTCAGTTATTGTTTTATATGTCATCTCACGTATGTGAAGAAGCTTCAATCAGGTTTTCACAAACATAGTTCATCTTTTATTTCCAACGAATCCTGCCCCACAGAAAACCTTCACTGAAGTATGTCATTAAAAATGGTGTCAGCTAGGTCGGTGTGGCTCAGTGCCTGAGTGTCCACCTATGAACCAGGAGTTCACAGTTCGATTCCTGTTCAGGGCACATGCCCAGTTGCGAGCTCGATCCCCCGTGAGGAGCATGCAGGAGGCAGCCGATCAAGGAGTCTCTCTCATTATTGCTGTTTCTATCCCTCTCTCACTCCCTCTCCTTTCCTCTCTCTCTCTCTCTAAAAAACCAATAAAAACATACTTCTTTTAAAAACTATCTCAGCGTGTTCATCTCCTATATTCAGATTGTTGGAATGGTTGACACTAACGGGTTGTTTGATCAGGAGCTCCCTTACTGCCTGCCCAAACCTGCCTTGAAAGGAAAACGCATTCCAGCTGCTTGCAGCGAGTGCTACATAACACGCTGATATAGTCACTTCCCTACCTGTTGCTCTTTGGGGTTATAAAGTGTTTCAATTATACGTTCAGTGATTCTGAGAATCACTCACCTGGGATGGAAGGAACTAAAGTGGAATAAAAAGAAACAAACAGGAAACACCATCCGTGTTGGCAACAGTGTGCAGAGCCCAGCAGCCACCATGGCGACCTGTGCCGCCAGCAGAGCCTGCACACACATGTGGACACGGGCTCTCTGGCCCAGCATGCGTGGCTTTGCAATAACAGAAATGTTTTTAGTCTCCAGCTGTCAATCATACGATAAACAAATGGCAATGCTGCAGACTTCAGAAGTGTAAAGGGAGTGAAAACGGGTCGTTTTATTTTACTGTTCGGACAAAACTCACTTGAATCATTTTCCAATTGAGTTACAGGGCACGCCTTGCCTCGATGGGCACACATAAAAATACCCGTCGTGGAAAAAGCCCATTATCGGCTGAGCCGGGAGGCCTGGCCTGGGTCTCCGAGGTTCTGGAGGCCACATTTTTCTCGCCTGTGAGATGAGAGGTGTGTGCTAGATGGCTGACTTCTGAGGCCCTCCTCCTTCTAAATGGTTCTGCTGGGACTTAGAAATTTATTTTTTAAAATCTGTAAGGAAAGGTCCTTTTTCTAGCCATAATGTACTCTCCTCAATGCCCCATAAATAACCAAATCAATTCTCTGGCTAATGACAGAAACGGAGACAAAAATACCCAGACACGAAACGATGGGCATGACCCCCACCTGGAGCCATCGTGCTGAATTTCACTCTTACATTTGGAGACCCTGTTAGGACGTATGTTCTATTTATTTTCTGAACACTGGCTGTTCTCAACTAAAATGTCCAACCCTTCAGGAAACTGACAGTGTTATAGGGTATTCCACGCCCTCCTTTATACTCTCAGCCCTCATCCCGCCCTCACCTCTTCCGACAAGTTGAATCAAAACTGTCTTGCTGAAATACAGAACCAGAAAGAGGGCTTGTGAACACGAACACACACACACACAGATACACACGCACACACCGTAAGAGTGGAATGCCACACACACACACACACACACACACACACACACACACACACACATATGCACCGGAGGAGTGGAATGCCACACAGGCACACACAGGCATACACACACACACAAACACACACACACACACACACAGGCTCACACACATGTGTGCGCACCGGAGGAGTGGAAGGCCATGGCGAGCAGTGACTGCGAAAGAGGGGAGGGAGTGTGGGTGCGGATGTGACCTGGGCTGTGGGGGAGGAGATGCATCTACATGAGCAGCCACACGGAGAAGGCAAACTGTCTTCTTTGCAAACAGAAGCAAATGGAAACGACACGGACGAGCAGTGGAGCAGTACCTGACCAGAAAGGAGTGGAGGAAGGGGGGACAAAGCTGAAGTCTGGAGGAGGGACAAGAGAAAACCCACAGAGCAGAGAGGGGGCTGAGAGAGAGAGGAGCAAAAAGAACATTTAGGCGTCGGCAAAGGAAAAAAAATACATCTCGACACAACCACCCCGTTGCCTGTAATGTTTCTCTCTGTTTCTCCCTCTCCCTTCCACTTTCTCTAAAAATCAGTGGGAAAATATCCTTGGGTGAGGATTAACAACAACAATAAAAATTCAAATAAACAAATAAACAAAGCATTGGGGCAGAGTCACAGATTTACGTGAAGGTTATAATCCTGTGACATGGGAACAATCCAATGGTCTTGGAGTATAGACCATGGTGCATTCCTACTGAATGAAGTACTAATTCGCTTCCTTCTGATCACCTGAGAGAAAAATACAAAACTCCTCCACCTCTCTGAGAATCTAAGATACCTGGGTAACATTGGGCTGAAAAATAGAAAGATAACTTCTAATGGGTGTGTGAAGTTTCAATTCCGAGTGTGCTGTGACTACCTTGGCTGGCCATCTGTCATAAATCCTTCCGAAGAGAATAGCTGTTAAGTTATCCAAATAAACACCAAGCCTATCGGTGGGTGTGACAGATCACTTCAGCGTTTGCTTACGGATGCATGTGACACTGTGCAGATGCTGTCAGAGCCCTGACGTAACCTATGTCTCCTTCAGGTTCTGCTTTTGGGGGTGGGAGAGGGAGAGGCGAAGTTCTATTACACAGATGCAAACTCTTTTTTGAAATACCTCTGGAAATTCCAGTTTTGCTTAGGCTAAGCATTCTGGGAGTAATAAAATTGCATTCAGTTAGCCTTCAAAGCAGTTTTATGGTTGTTGTAATTTAAAAAAAAAAAAAAAGATATCAAACTAAGAGAATGGGATCACGCTTTACTCCTCACATTTTCCATCACGATGGTCTCTCTCCCAGCTCTGTCTACCTGCAGGAAGACCACATGACCAAGCGGTGATGAAACAAAGTGTCGGCCTTGAGCTCACATCCAACCAGAACCTGCTTTCAGTCTGCATGCTAATCTCTGATGACTGGTGCTTGACCCAAAAGACAGTGTCTTTCAGCAGTACTGGCCATAGAGGAACATGACCCGGAAGTCATCTTTAAACAGGATCACAGGATGTGAGAGAGCTGGGCATGCGCCTTGCTTCAATACTGCTACCCAAATGGCACTGTGACCGCAGACACGAGTAAAATAAAAAGAGGCTGGCTGCCCTGGCCCGTGTGGCTCAGTTGGTTGGAGCATCATCCTGTACCCTGAAGGGCCACAGGTTCCATTCCTGGTCACGGCACCCACCCAGGTTGAAAGTTCGATTCCAGTTTGGGGCATTTAATGGGAGGCAGTCGATGGATGTTTCTCTCTCTTTCTCTCCCTGCTTTTCTCTCCCCCCATTCCGCCCTCTCTAAAAAAATAAATTAATTAATAAACATATCCTCTATTGAACTGAGGGATTAGAAAAAGTTGGGCTGATGTAAAAGTCATTGAAAAGTACAAAAATTCCATATTAACATACCCTTTACATTTTCTGTGGAGCTCTGAATGCAAACATGATTTTTAACTTGGCACAAATAACCGTATGTGGAAACGTCTTAATAAACCTGCTGGTCCGTCTGACTGCTGAGCTGGAACGCCCCCTGGCGAACTGCTTTATATCTCAGCTCTGGGAGAAAGAAGCTGGATGTCCTTGTGCCCCCACCCATTGGAGGGCGGTACTCACAGCTGCTGCCCACCCGGCTGCCCTTCTGCCCGGCCGCGGGCTCCGGCTCCTTGTATGGGAACTGGAGGGTGGTATCCAGGCTCCGGAAGCCTTCCTTCAGGGAGTGGTGCTTGTAATACTCCACCAGCTCCTGAGGGAAAAGAGAATGAAGGTCATGGTTAAGAAGGCCCGGCCAGTTCTCAAACGCATACACAGTTCTCCTTCACATATACGTGAATGAGGATGGGCCATTCGGTATGCAATTTCCCATAAGCCTATGGGACAATAAATAAGTCGCTCCCTGCCATCTGCCTGTATGGTACACCTGCTCAGGGACTGTCTTGGTTTCTCGGCCCCTTGTAATTGCAGTTGTCCCTATTGTCACTCATGGATGGAGCGCATCCTGTGAGTCTTCTGTCAGACTCAGGAGATACTGCACTCCATGAAAAGAAACCAAACTGAACATCAATCTCAGAACAGCAATTATTGCTCCTATTTATGAGATACTTGCTTTTCTAAACAAAAACAAAGGGAGCAGCTGCTTTCTGAATACAGAGCAATTTCTAGTTTCCTGCATTTCCTTCCGACGTCACGAAGAGCGAACTTGGTTGTCAATGTACTTCTCCACAATGAGCCAGCGCTGATAAGCCATGGGTGCTGCATGGCGTTGCTTGTGGTAGATGATGAAGTGTCCACAAATGCCCGTGTCTCAGCTCTGTGTGGCCTCTGGCACTTACACAGGTCACTGACGTGGCTCCTCTGATCTTCTCTAATACTCATTGGCCTCATGAACACCCAAGCCCAATGTAATAACCTCCCATCTGCTTTCGCACTGGAAGTTCATTCTTACAAAATGCTGGTTGCATGGATTCTACACAAATCCAAATCCTCCCCGACTTTAAACAGAAATTAAATAGTAATGAATTCATAATGGGAAAATGCATATGATGATCAGATGACTACCGGAGCTATAATATAACATTTCTTACAAATAGCTGGAATGAAAATAAAAGCAATATCTCTTTTAACTCAATTATTTGTTGCTTTGACTGCAGTGCAGTAGGTGAAAATCAGTGTAGAACCTACTCATGGCTTCTATAAACCACACTGATGTCAACTCTGTATCTCCATTCTGTAGGTTATGTTCCAAGTTCCCGAAACAAGTCAATAGGGCCAAAAATCACCCGGAAGAAGAAAAGGAGGATGGTCAATGCTCTACGAATCATTTATGACCTAACTCCGAGGACCTGTGGAAAATCACCGAGTGGAGAGTTTCCGGGTCACAAAGATTATGGAGATCCGGCCCTGCTCTCTAGGGGTTCTCACCCTTGAAGGAAAGTGAGGGATTATGGGAGTTCGAAGGCAACACAGAGAACTTCCTTTTGTGAGTACTTTTTGAAGAATGAGAGAAGAAAGTGCATGATACAGCCTGGCTTAAATTGAAGGACATGTACAACTTCAAAAGCCAGGAAGGAGGAAAGGATTGTTTTATTTTTTAATATATGTTTATTGATTTCAAAGAGGAAGGGAGAGAGAGAGAGCGAGAGAGCGAGAGAGAGAAGAGAGAGAGAGAGAGAGAGAGAGAGAGAGAGAGAGAGAGAGAGAGAGAAACATCAATGATGAGAGAGAATCAGAGATCAGCTGCCTCCTGCATGTCCCACACTGGTGGACAAGCTACAACCTGGGCATGTGCCGTGACCGGGAATCCAACCATGACCTCCTGGTTTATAGGTTAACGCTCAACCACTGAGCCACGCCGGCTGAGCAGACTGTTTTATTTATTTTTTTTTAATATATTTTATTGATTTTACACAGAGAGGAATTGAGAGGGACAGAGAGTTAGAAACATCGATGAGAGAGAAACATCGACCAGCTGCCTCTTGCACACCCCCAACTTGGGATGTGCCTGCAACCAATGTACATGCCCTTGACCGGAATCGAACCCAGGACCTTTCAGTCCGCAGGCCGACGCTCTATCCACTGAGCCAAACCGGTCCCGGCTGAGCAGACGGTTTTAAGTAGAGCCTCCGGGCTGGGAACAGACATGAGGTGATAAAGACCACACTCAGACTACAGGCAGTGTGGCGGGGCTGAGCACTGGATAAAGCAAAGGGAGATTTTCCAACTCTCACATCTGTAAAGTGAGGATAAGAGACAATTTCACGGAGGATAGTAAAGAGTATATGATGTGCCAGGCACAGGTGAGGATCATGACCACTGCCACCATGCCCTAACCAGGAGTTTACAGTCCGCAGGCTGATGCTCTATCCACTGAGCCAAACCGGTTTCGGCAGATTATAGGGATTCTTGATGAAGAAAAGGAATTTGTAATCTGACAAGAAAGAGGAGGATGAGGAGGATGAAGAGGAGGAACGACAAAATATTAGACAGAAATTTATATCCTCAAAATGGTTTCAATGATCAGAATATGGCATTTGCATTACAGTGATTTTTAACATGTTCTGCAAAGGCCAAATCTGGGATTAAATTCTAGAGGTGGCTATGACTATGTAACCTTTTTTACATAAAAAGGGGAAATCCTGCCAGGGCTCAGAAAGAGCGATGCTCACATAGACTGTGAGGATGATTCAAATGACCCCAGAGGGCTGTTCTTTCAGGCTCCTTATTTCAACTGAGTAAAACGTAACAAATACGAAAATAAACCAGAAAAGAATAAGCCAGTAACTTTGAATTTCAAGGTGATTTGGTTACAAGTAATACAGATTTTATGTATTTTATCATAAACTAGAAGCCCAATGCATTAAATTCTGGATAGAGGCCCAGTGCATGGAGGGGGAGGGGGATCCCTCAGTCCAGCCTGCACCCTCTCGCAATCCGGAACTCCTTGGGGGATGTCCGACTGCCAGTTTAGGGACTGCTTGCCCCTAACTGCTCGCCTGCCTGCCTGTTCAGTGCACATCATAGCAACCGGTCATCCAGCCATAACGGTAGCTTAGGCTTTTATATATATAGATTAGTATATATTTAGGTTTATGAGAAGTTGGCTCCAGTGATCATACTGAGAAGGACTTGGGGACCATTTCATAATTACCCACCTCCACATTTTATGGAAGAAAAACAGATTTTCCAAGCCCTAGGGTCATGCGAATGAGTAAGCTGCAAAACGCTTCTTTTATCACTTCACTAAGCACAGGATACATTCTGGCTCCATTTTTACAGTCTTAGGAGGGCGAGCCTTCCCACACGTTCCTAAGCAGGTAGAGTTAAAGGATGCCGCCTGAATCTTCTCCCAAGGATGCCTTTCTGCTTCCAGCCCTTTGGTCTAATCCACCCCTGCTTACAGTCATTGACCTTCAGGTACTACAAGTAAATAAGACGACTCTAAACAAAAGCAATGGCTAAGCCTCCCTTATCTCGCACTCACACAGAGGAGTCGGCAACTCCGGTCTCTCTCAGAAATAATGAGCCCCGTCACTCCGGTTACCCAGGCAACAGGCACTGGGGATGATTTATAAACAGCATTTGGCCCTGGATGGTCTGGCACACATGACAATTAGAACAAAATTAATGCCTTGTAATCTGGAGGCAGAGATTCATTTAGAATTTGCATTTAATGAGGAGGAAAACACCAAAAATCTTGATCCACCGAGTTACGGAAGCCCGAGGGGAACAAGTGAGGTCCCCGCCCCCCGAGGCCCAGCCTCTCTTTGGGGAACTGGCTCATTGAACACCAGTCCTGGAGGCTGGCGGTGCTGTATATCCTAGTCCAGATTAAAATCTCCTCCCAGGCCCCAAGCAGCTTCTTGGGTAGGAGGACAGAACCTGGCCACCAAGATGGGAGGATAGTGAATTATTCTTAAGAAGACAAGTCAAAACCACAGACCCCACTCACGTGGGAGCTGTGCTACTGGGCACCAATAAGATAAAAGGAAACGCTATGAAGCTGTGTTGCCCCACATGCCCAGTGATGGTGCCTATGAGCCTCCCCCGCCTCCCCACGGGGCCGGTTCCTGGCAGGAGCTGTCCCTACTGATCTCGGGTCCTCGTAGTATTTCCTACATCAGGGTCCAAGGACAGTACCATGCTGAGGTTCTGGTACCAGGAGGGTGTGCTGACCTGAAAGCGTCCTTTCTGAATCCTGCAAACACATGGCGGTTTCCACAGTGAGGACTGGATAGGAATGTGTGCAACAAGAACCGAAGCCCAGGGCAGCTCCAGAGCGGGGCAGCTCCAGACGTGCTCAGCTATCTCATCGGCATTTTCTACAGTCAGGTGCTAAACAGGCCAAAGTGTTTTCCTCAGACTTATCAGCTCCTTATCTTTCATTCCTTATGCAATTACTGTCAGGAGTAATGATGGGGATGGTTCTCTGAAAAGCATCCTTAGGCGATTGTGTCATGCTAACGTGTAGGGGACACCGTGAGCAAAATCACACACAAGACTGAATCAAGCACAAGGAAATGCCATAGAGAGACTCAATAGATAAAGGTGTAACCCAGCACACAGTTTTACAGCCAACTATTTTTTATAAGCCGAAAGAGTACACCCTAAAATAATTATTAAAAGTAGAGTCAAGCCCTACTCAGTTTGGCTCAGTGGACAGAACATCAGCCTGTGGATTGAAGGATCCCAGGTTCAATTCTGGTCAAGGGCACATGCCTGGGTTGCAGGCTATATCCCCAGTGGGGGGCATGCAGAAGGCATCAGATCAATGTCCTCTCTCATCATTGATGTTTCTTTCTCTCCCTCTCCCTTCCTGTCTGAAGTCAATAAAAAATATAGTTTAAAAATATGTATAGTCCATACATAACTTAGTCACACAGTTGTTCACTGTCCTTATCAAGTGTTATGTATGTCCTATGCTTTTTAGAGGCTGGAACGCAGTAGGTCTGCACACCAGCACCACCACAGACACGGGGGCAGGTGTTGTCCTACCATGTCACCAGGCGATAGGAATTCTTCAGCACCATTTTGTCGTTGTTGTTAATTCTCACTGGAGGACTTTTCTATTGATTTTTAGAGTGAAACAGGGAGAGGAGGGATAGAGAGAGAAGCAGAGAGAGGCATTGATATGACAGAGAGGCACATCAATTGGTTGCCTCCCACACCCACCCCAACCAGGGCTGGGAATCAAGCCTACAACCGAGGTATATGCCCTTGACCAGAATCAAACCCAAGACCCTTCAGTCCATGAGCCAAAGCTCTAACCACAGAGCCAAACCAGCCAGGGCTTCAGCTCCATTTTAATCTTATAGGATCTCCATTACAGATGCAGTTGGTCATTGACATATCCTTTGCTCACGTTTTGTAGTTTCAGTGTAGTTTTGCTATTGATTCTTAATCCCTTCCCTTACGTTGACCATGCTGGCTGCCTTACAGAAGATCCCAGATATGGAGGAAATCATACCCATGTGTCTCCGGCTGTGGTATTTCACCTGTCAGATGAGGGTTGCTCATGTTAGCTCTGGGACAGGGGCTCTTAACCCCCCTTCCAGAAGATCGCTGCGAAAGAGGGCATTGCTCTCTGTGCGAACTGTGAGTCCTGGGTCTCTAGCTTTTCTCCAGCCAAGGACCTCTGTCCCTAACCCAGTCTTTGTGGTATCACTGGCTTTTCCCGTCGGACCGCAGCTGCTGAAGAACTTTCTGGAGCAGAACTGGGTGGCACAGAGCTGCACTGCTCAACCCTTCCCAGAGACACTTCCTTCCCTCAGGTCCCCTCAGCTCCTCTGCTAGGGGTTTTGCCGTTGCTGTCACTCTCCAAGTTGGCAGGGCTGGAGTTCAGCGTTGGCCCCACAGCAGCTTGATGCCTGCTAGTAACTGTGACACGTGGACAGCCTTGTTCCCATCCCGGGAGCCCTGCAGGTACAGACTCGAGCTGGCATGCTCTGCAGGGGCAAGGAGATGCCCGAACGCTCTGCACTCTTTGATCATGTCTGGGCTGGGCCGTCACTCGGCATCTGTGCATCCCAGGTCCTCAGGCGGGAGGGTGCTCCTCAGGCCCGCTCCTCTCTGCGCCCAGCCTGCTGGGCCAAGAGGACGCGAGTCACAGCCCGCACGGGGGCCTGAGCCTGGAGCCGTTTCCACTTCCCAGGATGTGATCTTGTTGCCCGCCTTCGTGTTTGAACGGGGACGGCGCAATTTCCGTGCAGAGAGGTTTCTGGCTCTCCTTTTGACTCGGATGCCGCCCTTTCTCGGAAACCCCGTTCCCACCATGGCTCGGGTCCAGGTTTTTGGAGAAGGCCTGCCAGCTGCCTGCACGGGGACTCTTACTGTCCGCTCTGGCTTTGCTGTTCACATCTGCAAAGTGTCTAGAGATGTTTTCTGGAAGGCTGCAGCCTGGATCGCTAAATGGATGGCCCGGCCAGTCAGAGGTCCTTCCTGATGATCCTCAATGTGCCCAGGAGGCCACTCCCCACGCATCCCACATCCTGGGTCCAAATTGTCATCATCTCAGGACACGCCCTCAACCCAAGAAACAAACCTGAGACCGCTCTTAAGGCAACAGGAACTCCTTTACTATCAGCAATGCATAGACAGGATAGGGAGGTACAGACATTGTCTATATGGCATATACATAACATTCTTAGCCACTAATACAACTATTAGGTTGTAATTATTTAAATGGAATATTTTATTGAATGATTGTATTAAATGATTTTAAATTATATATTTTATTAAATAATATTTTTTCTTATAAAGCAATTTTTGCATATATATATATATATATATATATATATATATATATATATAATTTCAATTTCAATGTAAAGGTCCCATGAGATCTTGTAAGGTAAAAATGATACCTTGTTCATGTATAATTGTGCAAAGTCATGAAGGAGAACACAGATCATTTAAAATAGCAGAAAACAGTCCAGCCAGCATGGCTCAGGGGTTGACTGTCAACCTCTAAACCCGGAGATCCGGATTGATTCTGGTCAGGGCACAAGCTGGGATTGTGGACTCGAACTCTAGTAGGGGGTGTACAGAGGCAGCCAATCAAGTGTTCTCTCTCATCTCTGATATTTCTATCTCTCCGTCTCCCTTCCTCTCTGAAATTAATAAAAATATATTTTTTAAAATGGCAGAAAATACAAAAAGTGTTTCTATGTGACAGTATATTGCATTTTATCTGAAATGAGCCTGCGTGTGAGAACTGTTTCACCAATTACAATGACGATTTTTGGTACTATAATTTAAAATACCTTCCTCCACCTGAATGAGGAGGTAGACGTGAAAGAAGGAAAGGGAGGACAGAGGTGAAGGAAGGGGAGGACAGAGGAGAGTATTCAACATTGGCTGGGTTTCATCCAACAAAGACAAAAGTCACACCGAGAACTGAAAGGTCACTATATTTGAATGTGACCTGACTCATAAGGAGTGTCGACTCTGAAATGCTGTCTAAAACTTACTTTACAATGAAAATCATGGCTACGGAGAGCACTATAAAACAACTAGAATTCTTAAAATTAGAATTCTCAGGATCTGCTGCAAAATTATTCTCTTCACACAACTTCTCAGTGAGCAGAATTTCCATGGAACTATAGAATTAAACTGACCTTCCCAATAAGAGAAAAAATAAGGCCCACAAATTGAAACGAACTAATCAATGCTTACCATTAAACTTTTAAATTTTCTATTTTCTGCAATGTGAAATAAGCCATCTCTTGTTACAATCTTGATATGCTTTGCTTCATTATTGTACCTGTGGGCAATGAATAACGTATGAATATAAATGTGGCTTTAATCAGAAGAAATCAATAATGGCCAGAGGGCTTGCCCCAATAACGCTATAGGAATTAATTCAGAAGACAAAATATATACCTGTGCCAATACAGTGGTGACAACTCATTTACCAAATATATTTATTAGGTCGGTTGGAGATACAACCAATCTTTGAAGGGAGAAGGGAAACTAATTTGACCAATCATTATGCTCAATATGTTCAGTAAGTCCCACTGGAGAATACAGGAAAACAAAATAAAATGAGATAGAGTCATGTATACTCTTAGAATTTACCAAAAACATCCACGTCAAGTCACCCAAATACAATGTTATGACGAGAGCGAACATGCCAATTAGCAGCCTTTACCACTTGACGGTGTTTTTCTAATGGGTGTTTTCAAGTGGCAATGACCTGTCTGGACAGAAGCATCATTCCTGCTGTAATTAGATCCTTGATTTTCCCCTGCAGGGCTCCACGTGTCGGAGGGTCTATGCAGTTCTGCAACAGGAGCTGTATTTCTGTAAAAGTGTTTGACCTACTTACTTAATGCTAATCGCGTATTCGCCCGACTCTTTGGTCCGGAGCCTCACCAGGTAAGTGCTGTTCAGCCTGTTGATCAGTTCAGTCTCCGCCTGCAGTCTCTCCATCGCCCCGGCGTACCTGTAAGAGACAAGGAGAGGCATCCGTGTCATGTGCCCGAAAAAGAGTAGAGGCCACAGGTAAGTATCTGCCAGGATTTTAACTCCGTGGCAGGTCTGAGCTCTCCTGACTTCTGTGCCAACTAATTCCATCACTTCAAAAGGAATAATGAAGAGACTTCCTCTGCTTCTTCCAAACACAAGTGCTCTACAAAGCTAACAGGAGAAAATGAGCCATGTATAATACACAGTAAATATTTATCAAATAGCTGACTGAGACAAGGAGAGGAGCCAATAGGTACCAGGCTAAAGAGAGCTGTAGGGAGTTTAGGTAAGACACACAAATGCACACACTACACACATGTACACACACACACGTATACCCACACAACCCCAACACTTCACCTCTCCTATGTACACTATGAAATGAAATCTACTTTGAGCATCTTTCTCAAGAAAACTGCAGTAACAATTTAAGTTATTTCTTAAACTAATTTTTGGATAGAAGATGAACTCTGTTAGCCCACATAGTGGCTAAAAGCAATTTTCTTAAGCAACTAGCAGTACCGAGTAAAACATGTCTTTAAAAGATTTTGTTGTTGTTGCCCTATCCATCTAATGGACGTGGAATGTGGTTTGGCACCCCCTCCTTTCAGGCGCCCTTGAACTACGGGTCTGGCATTTCAACTTGGCTGCATAAACATTTTTAATACTTACCAAGGCTGGCAAGAATAATCTACTGGTTTGGGCACCTAGGATATAAAAAAAGCCAAAATAGATTAAGTTTACTTAAGGGAAGCTTTTAGAAATCAATCACTAATTCTCGTTCAGCTGACTCAGCTAGAAACCCCTCAGTAACACAGCACCAGGTCTGTCCAGCAGCCATTTCATCCACAGTGAATCACGGTCTGTGTCAGGGAAACAGAGCATAATTCACCTGGCTTTCACCCATTCTTCCCTTCATTTTGCTGCCACTGTGCTTCCAAGGGGAGAGATAACAGGAGAAATATGAACTGGAAACTTAGGGTATTTTTTTTCAATCAAGGCAGTTTAGTCCTCTCGTGGAAAATTAAAAGGAAAATGTTAGGGTAACCGAATAGCACCCCGGCTTCCTCCAGACACTGGCAAACAGGCCCAGCGAACAGTATGTCCTGCAGGTGGCCTCTTCATTTGTGACACAAAGTCTACACTCTGAACTTCAGGGAAAAGTCACGGAAAAGATCCATTTTTCCTCTTTGAAAAAGAGAAAAAAAATATTCCATTTTCTAAGCTCCCAACAAAAGAAAAAGGAAGAAAAATCCCTCCTGTTACTTATGGAAACTAGACAATGAACAAAGCCAATGCAGGTATACTGATACTCATGGAATAACAAATAAAAGACACGCTATGTAGATGGGCAAAGTTGATAAACCCGGGAGTGCAGACAGGTTGTCTCTTGTTCAGAAAGTTTTCATGAAATCATGTGACTCTAATATGGATGCACAAAGGCATATTCCTGGGCCTTTTAACTTCCGGTGATTGAAAATGGTATTAGCATCATTTTTAACAGTAAAAGCGATTGTATTTCAGAGGTGTGGCAAATGTGAGCATGCCTGGTTTCATAGTAGGCAGTTACTCTTTTGTCCTTTCAGATGAAGAGTCAAACATCTCTAAAACTATCAACATTTAAATACTGTGACCCATGCCGAAACTCGTTTGGCTCAGTGGACAGAGCATCGGTCTGCGGACTGAAGGGTCCCAGGTTTGATTCCAGTCAAGTGCATCTACATTGGTTGCGGGCACATCCCTGGTAGGGGTTATGCAGGAGGCAGCTGGTCGATGGTTCTCTCTCGTCGATGTTTCTAGCTCTCTATCCCTCTCCCTTTCCCTCTAAAATCAATAAAAAATATATATATTTTTTAAAAAGATGCTCCAGTATAGAAATCAGGAAGGACTGAAATACAGCAACTATGACAGATTAAGGTTGGTTTTGTTATTCCCAAACTATCAACTCCATTGTTTTAGTAAAAACATTTATTTACCTAGAGCCAAGAACTTTAAATGTTCCTCAGAAAAATCAACCCAAAACAGCAAATTATGATGATAAAATAATGTCACCCCTAAACAGAAATTTATAAATCTCATAAAGCACTAGACAGTACATATTAGTTTATAGTCGTCTGTAATAATATTTGAGTAAATACTCATGCATTCTCCTTGTATCAACCTAATGTGCTTGATGATTTCATAAAATGTCATTATAACATTAAGTAAACAGCAGTGACAAGCTAAAGCATGCTTTCCAACACACTAGTTCAAGTGTAACATCTCTCTGTAACTCAGCATGACTGGGACTAGATTAGACCCCCATATTGCTTGGGGGGAAAGGAGGGAAGAAGAGAAATTGGTACAGTTCAGCTGATCTGTAGCTTTGGAGAATCCTCCTAAAACCTTGTAGACAATTTAATTTTATAAATTCTACAAAGTTAAATTTTCTTCTTATCATACTCTCCTACCTTTGAAAAATATTTTCTGACAATCAAATCATAATAATTGGGGGATTTTAATAGCACTGGCCAAGGCGTTCAAACACACAATAATAAGATCGCTCCAGAAATATTGACAAAATTAATGAGCAACCAGACCAGCATCGATTGCACATCCTTGAACAATTAATTACAACATCAAAAAAACACAGAAGAAATAAAATACTCATACTTACGCATGGGCAAGGCTTGACAGCGTCACTCGGAAAAAATCCAACCTCTCCTGTGGCTAAATTTCTACCCTGAATTAGGGAAAAAAATCCCAATTTAGAACAAATTTAACACAAATGATAACTTCATAATACTGGGGACACGGCGGTGACTCGGGGTCCTCAAGCCTGGCACATCCGATCCAGGGAACTCACTCGGCTCAGGAACGGAAGCAAAGAGCTTTTAAGATCGTTAAACCCTACACGTGGTTTCAGAACATGATTATAAACTAAGAATTCAAGCTTGACCCTCCAAACCACCATTCGGGTTTGTTAACTTGACATTCCTCAATCCTACCGGGGGACAATAAGCAATACTCTGTTTTTCAATTTCATGGTCATTAATCCAAGCAGATCATACTGGTCTTGGGCAGGGATTCGATTTACATGGTTATCATGGGTGTGGCTAACAGAACTCGTGAGCTCATTCCTCCAAGACAAGGGACAGTTCAAGATATGCAGAAATGGAAAGCACAGCAAAAGGTGATGTTTCCGAAGACTTTCATATTTAGGAAAAAGTAGTAGGATGCTAATTAAGGGAAGAGAACAACGATGACCTTGAAGGAGATGATCTTAACCCCAACAGCACTGTAAATGATAAAAGAAGAAAGAAACAGCAGAATAAAGAAAATTGACGCACAAAATAGACAAAATAAAATACTTCAGAATGTATTCTTGGAGACCATTGATCAAATCCCTCTTTTATTTTTAATATTTTATTGATTTTTCACAGAGAAAAAGGGAGAGGGATAGAGAGCTAGAAACATCGATGAGAGAGAAACATCGACCAGCTGCCTCCTGCACACCTCCAACTGGGGATGTGCCCGAAACTTGCCCTTGACCAGAATCGAACCCAGTACCCTTCAGTCCGCAGGCCGATGCTCTATCCACTGAGCCAAACCGTTTGGCCAAATTCCTCTTTTAAAAATAACCTCATGGCACTAACCTCGAGATTGTTTTTCTTTTCCAGAAATACAAACTCTTCTCAAAGCAGACTGCCACCCTCAGAACGGGTCATCACACAGTTCTTAGGAAACTGGGCTTATGTGGCTTTGCTATTACCAACTACTGTTTCTCAGAGCCTCGGATGAGTCACACGTGATGGCTAGAGTCTGCGTGCTCTGTGGCTTTCCACAAAGAGAAGCAAGACCAAGTGCCCAGAGCCCATCTCCCTCTCGAAGCAGCATCCCTGTGTGCCCGAGGGGCGTGGCACTGAGTGCAGGGGGAGACAGGCAGCTGCGTCTCCCTCCCCTTGGCACGCCTGTGCGGGCATCTTGTTCTGGTTCCGATAACCCACTTTCCATCCCTTCTACGCCTTCTCCAAGTGCCTGAGACTCTCTCAGCTACCCTCCCGTCTGACGTTTGTTCTTGCGAGTTCCTTAGCAACTTCAAGGTCGGCTTGAACACCTGTCTCCTTGACAGGACGTGTCATCTGATATCCCCCGCGGCACTGTCTTTGTGTGTGTTTGTTCTGCGGGGCGTTCTCTAGATTACAGTGATGGTGCTTTTGTAAAACGGAGCAGCACGGGTGGGGTCATTCCTATGAAAGTATTTTCTTTCGGAAAGAACCTGAGAAATGGGGTTACGGGCTGTATATGAGAAAAAAGATGTGACTTCATAATCTTTATTATTGGAATAGACCAGAACAAAATAATCTTAAATTAGAATCTATTTTAAAAATGCTATTTTTCCCTAAAAAGGAAATTGTTTCCCCGCAGGAAAGCATATCAAACTAAAATTATTGACAATTTTTCCCTGAATTCCTGAACCTCATCAATACAAATGCACACCAGACAATTATTTCTAACTGAACTCAGGTTATAACTACTTTTCATTTTTCTTCTGTAAGACCCACAGTGAATCGTAATGAATTAACACTATTGTGAATTTGCTGGCAGAAGTGATATTTCTGACCCACCTGTACGGAGAAAAGTACTGATGGTCAAAAACTGCATTTTTAAAACCTGTAGCCAGGGATGGCTTCCCGGGACAGAGAACATCCTACAGAAATCTTCATTGCAAATTGCTTCGCTCCTGACTTTGTAGAAAGGGGACAGAATTGCTTTAAGAAAAATACAGCAGCTTTTCCCGCGGCTCATTTATCCCCATAATACCACTGGGGCCGGGCGCTAACGCACTCCTGGAACGGCGCTGGGCAATTGGAAACAGACGTGGGAAGCTGCATGATTAAAGGGACAGATGCGTGGTTATTTATGAAAGATCGGAAATTCCCCCAAGTTGCAATGCCCTAAACACTTTCAACGTATGCACGATGGCGCTGGGCAGATTACTGGGCAATCGATCACACTGGGTAACGGCCAGAGCAACTGTCACCCAGCCCGTCACTCTCAGACTGCCGGAAAGACACAGTGGGAGTGTGCAAAGAACAACACAGACAGGGCGGCCCTGAATGATGGAAATAGAGGCAGATATACAAATGAGCTTACTGACTGGATGGATAGGTAGGTATAGATAGATAGATAGATAGATAGATAGATAGATAGATAGATAGATAGATTAGATTTGGTGGAGGGATGGATTAGGAGGTGGAGGGAGGATGGATGGGTGGGTGGGTGGGTAGATGGATGGATAGCTTACAGCAAGCACTATTTTTGGAATTACTCTCATAGGTTTTGTGAGTATATGCGACAGAACCAAAGGACAGGCAAAGGAGAGAGGACCAGGATAGTCCCTGTCTGTATGGTTGTTGGTAAAGAGTGATCTGCCTATAGCTGCAGCCACGTGACCCACACTGTCATCAGCCAGATGTCTGTCAGTGCTGGGTCCTGGAAAGCTTAGAAAGGCAGTGTCAGACGGGAGGTCCATCAGATTTGCTCATTCTACTCCCAGCTCCGCCTAAAACATGGCGCACCTCAGGCAAGGATCATGACAAGATCTGCCATGCGTGCCTCACCAGGGCAACAAGCGTCAAAGAGTTAACAGGTGTGAAAATATTCAGTAAACGCTAAAAGACTTCTTTCCCATGATGCCGACAATATACTTATTAATCACTCTCTGAATTCTCATTTATTAGGTGGCCTGTCCGTGTTACTAAACCAGAAATGCCGGGTCCTGTGTCTAGTCCCACCATCTTCCTTACTTTTAGGCAGCTTTGCTGAGCTGCGAGTAACAGAGACCCAGAATTTTCTCCTGAGCAGGAAATACTGCATTCCAAATAGGCCATTTCTTTATCTCAAATGCCCGAATGCTTCCTTGCTTGGAGGCCCATTCCTCCATCGTAATTGCTTCCTCTGTGATAAGTGAGATGTGCATTTTTCCACTGGCGATTTCCTTGAGAATGCGCCAAGCACAATTGCATATGGTTACACTGAATGGTCATTACAATGAATTCCAAAATATGCCTGCGCACACACAGAACAAAGCCGTAAGCCAGGAGCTTTTGTCGTCTCTTAGTCAGATGAGAATAGATCTTTAACTTTTGTCCAATACATAAAACAATCAACCAACACTAGCCTGGTTCATTTGTAGCTAAGGGGCTGTCATGGCTCAGAATTCTGAATGACGAAGACAAAAAGACACTTGCACCTCCATCTACCATCTTTGAAATGAAATGTATCTTTCATTTGTAAGGGATTATAATTATATCAAGTCATCGAAATACAGGACTAATCCCTCAGGGATAGTGGAAGGTCCTTCCAACGAACACACAATTGTTTGTGTTGATTGCATCTCTGAAGTTTTGGCAGACGGAAGTGTCAAAAACTAAAAAAAAAAAAAAAAAAAAAAAGTAAAGTTGTGAAATGCACACTAAGGGAAAAACACGAAAAAGCCATAAGCTGTATTTCTACACGTACATGCTGTGAGATGCATGTCACAGCAGAGTGAAACTCAGTGGAACATTCTCCTTATTATCCAAACATGTATCCCTAGACTTCTCCCACAGGGAAAGAGCTTGCTGGGTAAGATACTGTCCAGGACGCAGTCCTAAATCCCAATCTTATAACTGCATTTTCCTGGTGAGAATAACTGTGATTGTTAACCAGAAGCAAGTGCTGAGGAGTTCTGCAGCGGCCCCTTTTCAGCGGGTGCTATCATTTGATCAACAACTCGGCAAGCACAAGCCCCTCTGCCTGTAGGTAACCCCAAGTCCACCTGGTTACTTAACACCAATCTGGAAGCAGAGCAAAGTTCTACCACATCTTGGAAGGAATCCTGTTTGGAGAGAAGCCATGTAACACCAAATACACCCGGCTTCACAAAAGTCTGAAACCTAGAAATTTGTTATTCTAATCCTGGCAAACAATTAATGAATGTTTTCTTATACTTGGAGGTATGCTTTTTGTTTGTTTGTTTGTTTGTTTGTTTTTAAAATATATTTTTATTGATTTCAGAGAGAAAGGAAGAGGGAGAAAAATACAGAAAAATCAATAATGAGAGAGAATCATCGATGACTGCCTCCTGCATGACCCCCTTCCCCCACCAGGCACAGAGCCCACAACCCAGACCTGTGCCCTGACCGGGAATCAAACCATGACCTCCTGGTTCATAGGCTGACGCTCAGCCACTGAGCCGCACCAGACAGATAAAACTATTTGGTAGTTTTAATCATCATGATCATAGAGCAAATATTCTGAGAAACAGCTCGACACACATTACGCTCAAGCAACGTCAGACATAGTTAAAAAATGTGATCTTCTACCAAGAACAGAATTAGTACTTTCATGCAAAGTGTACTGACTTCCCAGTATGGCTGAGGCACTAAGCTGGGGACCAGCGGATTAAAAATGAATAGACCTAGCTACTATCTTGAAGGATCTCACTCAGACGATGCCACGTCCTTGACTGGCTTTTGCTTTGGTTATCTTCATAGTTTGTTGCAGAATTGGGGGGGGGGGGGGGTCGGAAAATTCTGATGAGGAATCATCAGATGTGGATGGCGAGTAGGGGGCAGGGGTTCTATTCCTGGCCCTCTGGCCTGGGGACAGTCACTTCACCCTCTTGGCTTCCACATCCTCAGCTGTGAAATAACAGATGGATACCCAAGCATTTCTGAGATCTCCCTGTAGAAATAC